TGTTATATTCAAGAAAACTGAACTGAACTTGCAAGGCGCCACCGCAGTTGCCGGTGCCATGAAAGCGCGACCGTCCCGGGACACAGCCTCAGGCCCAGAATTAGGCTTATAGGGTTACAGAAAACATAGCTGTAAACGGAAATAAACGAAGCCATGGAGTTTGTCCTGGACCCGCGCCATCTGCTTGCATCGCGAAAACCACGCGTCCCGCGCCGCAATGCCAGTAAAGTGTGCCATCACCACAAAACAGCAAAGCAAACACATGTTGTTAAAACAAACAACAACAGGGATAACGGCAGTTTGTTTGAGGAAGTACATGAAAGCGGTACCAACTAACTCCAGGGTGGGCCTCACTTCGAGTCAGGGCCCTCCGGGCGTCTTGCTGCAAGTATACAAGTACGGCGCCCATACTAGAATACCGCCAGCTCGCCATCAGTACTATCTCTGCGAGGTTCGCGTGGACCTTCGTTTCTTTTCGCTGTTCAATCTGTTCTGTGTATCCCTGCGAGTGGCCCACTGGCACGCTCATTGAGGGGCTTCTGTGGGTAGAGGCTGCTTCACTAACATTCGGCCCCGTCTACCCCAAGGTGTTTTCCCGCCCTGGGTACAAGGAGCTACTGGCGGCTGACCTCACCGGGCCCCCCCTCTTGTAGAGGGCCATACACAAGCTTGCCTTAAGGCGGCAAATCAGGTGGCCTTGTGATGATGGGGATTGACGATGGAGGGGGCGGGTTCACGTGTGTGTCGCATTAATTCAGAGTACCGGCTGCCAGGGCTGATTAGGGTGAATACCCAATGGGAGCACTCTGGGAAAGGTTTTCACCCGTAAATTCATGTTTACCCGTAATCACGTGGTCTTCACATGTAATTACCGGCCAAGAAAATTTGTACACATGCTTGTTTTTAAGTTGCCAAAGCATTCCTTTTATAAGGAATAACATAGGTGACATTTTGTTGGTTGCCCGTGCTGGAAGTCATCCACAGTTTACATTACCCGTAATCACAAGGTCTTGACCCGTAATCCCCCAAGCCGTAATGCACAGCACCCGTAAAATTTCACGGGCTTAATTGCGACGAAGACGTTTTATGCGTGTGTGTGTGTGTTACATGGTTGGGGGTGCGTGACCCCATACCTGTAAGACTACCCATACGAGCCGAGGGCCCAAGGGTAATACTACAACACCTAAAAGCCACGGAGGAAAGGAAAACACCGCACATCAGCCCAGACTAGCGTCTAAAGGGGGTAATTGAGTTTCGGTGAGCCCGCATATGTTCCAATATCCTCGCCGCACGTGCGGGTTCCCATTGCATGGCCTCCAACATGCTCTGTTGATGACCGAATCCCTCTTCAGCACGAATATAATTACAGGCTGGGCATTCTATTAACAGGCGTTCACATCCTCAATTCGGCTATTAGTACCACAACAGTGGCAAAACCGCTGCCCCCTGGGGACGTGGTACTTGCCCCTTCATGCTCTGTTTGCCTCGAAAGCCCAACAACATAAACGAAACTGCATTACCTTAGGATGTGCTAAACGAGGAATGAAAACCTTAGCATGTGTTGGCCACATGACGGCTGCGGCTCCCGAAAAGGGCAGCCCCATCCAGTGCTTATACTTCACCACTGTGATCCATCTTCGTATTTGCTGAGCGCGTCTGCCTGCTGCTGCTGTTCCCGGCTGCGTGGGTACCACACCACTGAAATGTCTGTGTCCGTATCCGCGCAGAGGCGATGGATCTCCGTCACTATGGGCAGGCAAGCGGTGTTGCCTTTCAACCCAACCATGCAGAATTCTGCCGGTTGGCTGTCCGTCTGGTATTGCACTGTCCGGCCGTACAACAGGTTCGGTGCCTGCTCTTGCAACCAGTGCAAGCTGTACAGCAGCGCCCGCAGTTCTCTTTCTGTGCTGCTAAAGTCATTCCGCTGCAGCCGCTGGGTTTCCTGAGCTTTGAAGGGCACAAGCATGCGGCTGTTGGCGCCCAGTTCTTCTCTAGGTAAGAAGGCTGCGAAGGCCCTGTCTGAGGCGTCCCCGACTAGTTCCGTCGTCAGTCGTAGGGCTGGTCCTTTCCGCCAGGTGGCTGTCCCGTTGCGCCTGCCCAGCAGCTCCATAAACAAGCCTGCCTGGTGTAGCACCTCCGCCGGGTCCCAAACCTCTTTGTCCCACGCCACACCCCGGGCTACACGCCACACCATCCACGCATACAGGGGTGCCGTGGTGACGGCGGGCATCATGGCGATGATTTTGCCGGCCACCTGCGCCACCTGCCGCGCTGTTAGCCGTTTGCCTTCGAGCTGTGCGAGCAGCGTACGGAATCTAGCTAGCTTGTCGTCTGGTCCTCTGAATGCTTGTGCCTCCGCATCCACCTCCATCCCCAAGAATCAGACTCGCCTTCTTGGGATCAGCTGGCACTTGGACAGGCTGAGGGTGAAGCCTAGGGCTGCCAGCAGCCGTACCACCGCCCCACATTCGTACTGTGCCGCGGCCTT